TAACTTCTCATATGAATTCAAAATCTATTGTGCTGTATTTAGAGACTATGGAAGATTATTGTTGATGAAGTATTGTAATATACTATTGAGGGGGTATTAACCTAAACCCTGTTTAATTGGTTTAATTTATTTATTCAACTTGACTTTATTAACTTTTTGATTAACTTTATATTGTTAGAGAATTATTTTATGTATATTTTATATATATCATTGGAGGTGCTCATTGTGTAGACTGCTGGCTGCCATAAACTTTATCACTGTCTAGTTAATATACAGTTGATATTCAAAGTTTACCCAATAATCAGCTTATATTAAAATTTTTCCTTTTTTCGACATTGAATTATTTTTTTGCTTCCATGCACGCATGCTCAATGAGCCGTGGCCTTGGATACACATTGTATTGCCAGCTCATAGAGGTTGCCGTCTATCAGGTGCCGTTACTATGCAGATGTGCGCATGCGTATGTTATTGGGCTGTTGCTCTGCGGATGTGCGCATGAGTATCCGTCTTTTGGATGGCACATTCTCTCCACTAATGAGGATCTTCTTATTTAATCAATTTTAATTGAATTTCTCATTTGTGGCACAGCTGTCAGCCTCCACTAATGGGTAAGCTAAACTGAGATGAATGAATTAAATGTATTAATTGTTTAATTATGTTAATTTTTGTTAATCATTTGTATTCTTATAAAAATGGTTTTTGTGTATGCATTTGATAGCTTGACAAAGACCGTGTAGGTCGAAATGTTGTGAGTGGCGGTGGGTTCAATAAATTTGACTTTTTGTATCTTGGGGTGCCTGGACCGTTCTCTATTTTTTCCTTAACAAGTGTTTTGACCCTGGTACCGGGACTGGACTGGTTGCACCAGGATACATACTACTTGGGATTGAGTGCAGTTCCACACCCTTGTTTTGGTCATATCTAAACACTAGATTATGTCTAGATGGAACAAATCCAGTGAAATTGATTGAATTTCAATCACAATGGCAATTCTCATATTTACTAAAGCTAAATACGATGAGAATTTGTTAGGACAAAGCAAATACGCTGCAATCACTTGTATGCATTTGATGTCCATATTAAAATAAGTGCTTTTTCATACAAAGTATAGGTTTTTTTAGATTTATGAAGCACTGGTTTTAATCAAAATTGAAACCGAATACATTAGGCACAATGCATAGTCACAATTTATTGTTCACTTGCTTTCTACAAGTGAATGATCACTTGAATTACTATTGCCTTTGTCTTCACACTCCACAATTTCAGTTGTCTCCCCAAGCCCCTAGCAACTCCCAATTAAAATTAACAATCCCTACCTGCCACCCCTCACCTTATTAATAGTAAATTGGTGGCCACTACAACTAATACTTGCAAAAAACATCTGAAGTATTATTTCTTGTAAATCTTCTTATATTTAGCCCGTAAGAGGTCAAATATAAAAACATAATACAATGCAGAATACCGCAATGCAAGTCTTGGAAAAAAAAAAGAAAAAGAAAAAAGGATGAAAAAGTAAAAAACCCAACACAACAAAAAAAACAGTTCCATCTTCTTCCCATGAGGAGTCCATGCAGAATAAGTATTCATATCAGGAAGAACCTTTATAAAGGTTTCCTTAAGCTTTAAATTCTTACTAGAAAGCACTGAATGGGTGTCTTTTAACACTAGGTACTGCCCCCAGTATATTATTATTAGAGCCCTCACCCACCACCTGTGGGTGGCAGCTGGAGTGGTTTAATGAGCCCCCCTCCCAGTTGTATTATTTTAGCCCTTCACCTGCAGTCCATGGTGCAGAGTGACAAATGAAGCTAATGAACGTGTTTCTTACATTTTTTAATTTCCTTTACTAGCAACTCTACGTTATAGTGTTAGGGGTTTAGAGCTGAACCTATCTATTTGTTTTCTGTTCCTGCTAGTACTCCCTTGATTTAGTTGTGTGTATGTAGAACTAGTAATGTAAGCTACCAGAGCATATACCTGTTAGCTCAGGTATTGGACTAGCTGCTACTGTTTTTATTCATTTTCTAGCCAGATCTCTATGCACTTTACAGATATAAATCGTTTACTGTATCATTAGTTTATAGGAGTCTCCAGTCCCAGGTTTCCTCCACCTCAGCAGTCAGCACCCATCTCCCTTAGCACCCACCTGGGCCCTATGCCCCCCTCCACCCTCTTCAGAACCCATCTTCCCATTTACTCACCTCAGCATCCATCTACCTCAGCCCCCATGCCCCCCTCCACCTAAGCACCCATGTCTGCCTTCACTCACCTCAGCCCTCATTTCCCCTAGCACCCTCTTCATCTCCCATGCCCCCCTCTACCTCAGCACCCACCAGAGCCCCATGCCCCCCTCCGCCTCAGGACCCATCTCCCTTAGCACCCACCTTAGCCCCATGCCCCCTCCACCCACTTCAGCAACCATCTCATTCCCTCAGCCCCCCCTCCCCAACACCCACTTCATCTCCCATGCCCCCTCCACCTCAGCACCCACCTCAGTGCCATGTCCCGCTCCACCTTAGCACCCATCTTCCTTAGCACTCACCTGGGCCCCATGCCCCCCTCCATCCACCTCAGCACAAATCTCCCTTAGCACTAACCTGGGCCTCATGCTACCCTCCATCCACCTCAGCACCATCTCCCCAGCACCCACCTCAGCCCCATTCAGCCTCCTCAACCCCTATTTATCCTACACCCTTCACAGCCCTCACTGTACCCACTACAACCCCTATACCTTTCAGAGCACACAATGATGGTATAGGTAAACCAAATACCAAAATTCAGGGCGCTAAAATCACTATGTGTACCAGCCTGTCTCTGATAGAATAATTGATCTGAGACAATTATAGCCGGAAGACAGAAAATCAGTCTTATAAAGAAATAACAATTTATTCAATCCAAAAGTGACATAAAATAAAAAACATATGGTAAATAAAAACAGCCTAAATGGCAAAAAACCCTTCTGGTATGCAGCTGGAACAAACAATATAAAGTGCAGTGTGCAAATGAAGGAGGTAATTAACAAACCACAAACATTCACTGTCCCTTCACAAAAGAGATTCTATGAGCAAGCTTAACTCAAGAGAGACCATATAGATCAATGCTCAATATCCTCTAACAGTACGGATGAAACTGCAAAAAAGATTTAAAGTGCATAAATGCAAATCCAAACTGCTAATACCACACTTCAGGTTCCCGCCGGGCTCTGGGGGGAGGAAGGGGTTAAACGTACCTCTTTCTCCAGCGCCGGGCGGGGAGCTCTCCTACTCCTCTCCTCCTTCTTCTTCCGTCACCAGCGGAATGCGCATGCGTGGCAAGAGCCGCGCGTGCATTCAGCCAGTCCATAGGAATGCATTCACAATGCTTTCCTATGGATGCTGGCGTCTTCTCACTGTGAAAATCCCAGTTAGAAGCACGGAGGCCCTCTAGCAGCTGTCAATGAGACAGCCACTAGAGGCTGCATTAACCCTATTATAAACATAGCAGTTTCTCTGAAACTGCTATGTTTATAAAAAAAAGGGTTAAACCTAGCTAGATCTGGCACCCAGACCACTTAATTAAGCTGAAGTGGTCTGGGTGCCTATAGTGGTCCTTTAAGATCCGGGGGATCGCAAAAGAGATATCGGAGGCTGAAATGCCTCACTTTATACGAAGGCTCCTCACGGCCCTACTTAAACCTAAACATGCCAAAGAGATAACCCCGGAGGGGATGTTCCGACTCCCAAGGCCTGCCACAGCCCCATGCACACAACCCAGAGATCTACTGGTACGCTTTCCCTATAATAGGGATACATCAGCAGTGCTGAACGCAACACGAAACCACTCTCCCTATCTATTTGAGAATATGTCGCTCTCATTCTATACAGACCTCTCACGGTCCACAATAGCCTAGCGCCGTTAACTTCAGCCCTTCACGGCACTTCTCCGCGCACAAAACATCAACTACAAGTGGAGGGGCTCACGGGCACTACAACTTTCTCACGGAGACTCCCGGTACACCATCCAAGATATGCAGGGTGTGAGAAACCTACTTTCCACACTGGGCCTACGAAAGGACTCCATCCCTACGACGGGACAACACACCATACCTGCTTCACCTGGGATAGGGGACCCAGCAACGACACTACCATTTGTTCCCCGACGGCTCGAATCACAGAGAAGCACAGCAGCCCCAACCTGATGGGACTCTGATGGCTAACGAGGCCACATCTAATTCTCCACGGGACTCCAGGCCCAAGGACTAGCCCCAAGGGCTGATGTGGAGGAACTCTAAGCGCACAACAGTTTAATGTGCACAAGTTACCTGTTCCCTTATATTTTGGTTTATATGTTGTTATTTTTATTTTAGACATCTTATATTAGGCCGCAGAGAGACCAAAACACAATGCACACCTATTTATCCTACACTCACAGGCCAGAGGGAAGGGTACAACACTCAGTCCCACTGCAACAGACATACTTGCAACCACATAGCGTCCCGACAGAGACTGGGCCATTCTCTTTCTCTCCCCCCCCTCCCCAAGGTTACAGGGGATCGTAATTCACACAACCAGCCACAAGCCACCTGACCCTTTCATACATGCATTCCATGCATACAGGCCACAGGCGGACCACGCACATCATGCACACGGAATGTCATGTTTCCCCGGGACATTTAGCTTCGGTACACAACAGTGGCAAGATGAGCACACATGCTAGTGTTTAGCTAACTTATTTTCTACTTCATGATCTAAGTTTGTGAATGTCTTCAGGTCCAACGTTAACTAAAAATAAAATGTGCAGTCTATATGAAGCCAGGTTACTGTCCTACGCTGATTGTTAGTAATGCACTTGATACAGCTATTGTGACTTTAAAGATCTTACAGCTATATCCTTTCAGGGGGGTCCTGGAGATATAGAAAAAATATTAGAATAAAAATACAAATGAGTGTAGATATGAAGGCACACCATTAAAATATGTTATAAAAGCAGAACACAGCATAAAATGGCTAAAAATACTAGTATGTCATATAGACTAATCCATAAAAGCTAATATACCCAGATCGGTATTTAAGCCAGAGGGAACAGAGGTTTTTAGCTTAAAAATTCATTCAGTTTCCCTCATGGCTAGCAACATTTCCATGTCACCACCCCTCCAGTGGGGGGTGATCATGTCAATACCAATACAAATAAAATCATTAAAATTAAAATCCCTACAATTGGTACAATGCTTCGGGATACTATGTTTCAAACTTTTTTTATTTATGCCGTTAAAAGGCTCCAAAAGCCTTATATGCAGTTTCCTGATAGTGCGTCCCACATACTGGATTCCACACTTGCAATGTAAAAGATATACTCGTAGTATATCTTTTACTTTCTGCGCCTACGATGGTGACCATGGGTAACGGGGAATCAGGGTTCGATTCCGGAGAGGGAGCCTGAGAAATGGCTACCACATCCAAGGAAGGCAGCAGGCGCGCAAATTACCCATTCCCGAAGTGAGAAGGTAGTGACGAAAAATAACAATATAGGACTCTTTCCAGGCCCTGTTATTGGAATGAGTACACTTTAAATCCTTTAACGAGGATCTATTGGAGGGCAAGTGTGGTGCAGAGCGACTGACCCGTGCGTGCTGCAGCTGAAACTCCACTATCGCCTGCTGCTGCTCACACAGTCTCTCCAGCATGTGCAAGGTGGAGTTCCACCTTGTGGGCACGTCACGTATGAGGCGGTGAGCAGGAAGGCCGAAGTTACGCTGCAGCGCAGACAGGCGAGCAGGGTGAGAAGCCGAAAGCACGCACAGCCGCTACAGTGAAACTGCGAATGGCTCATTAAATCGGTTATGGTTTGTTTGATCTCCCCATCTGTTACTTGGTTAACTGTGGTAATTCTAGAGCTAATACATGCCGACGAGCGCTAGGGGACGGCCGCTCCGCTTTTGCACCCTGCTCCCTCTTATGCTGTGCTGGTGCCTCTGTGCGACCACCGCCTCTTCCTCCAAACTGCACATGTCACTCGCATGACCTTCATTCCATGTGAGGGCAAAAAAAAAATTCTCGCCCATCTTTTGTGGGTTATTGCATTTTTAAGATGTAGACTTATTGTATCACACTAGACATGCACAGGTAGATTGTCTGGTTGTTTTGTTGTTTGGTTTTTAACTTTGTAGTTGTGTCTTTACACAATATACAAAATGTATATTAATGCTTCTGATGCTTCTGTATATGAAGCGATAACAATAACACTTACTTTTCACTTTAAAAAAAAAAAAAATCAGGCTAAACAAAAATTGGTAATTAACAATATGACATCTGAAAAGCACATGAAAGGATGCTGTATGATTTTTTTTTTTAAAAAGAACACACTGCATGAAGGTCCTGAGTGTGTAGTCATGAATGTAACCAGTAAAACTTTTTTTACAGCCACTGGTTGGCCCATACATACTTTAAAACTTGTTTAATTTTGTTATAGCATGACTTGTAGTCTTGTTTTTAACTTGTCTATAATACATATTTTTGTATGACACAGTGTGTTTTTTCATTGATTATTGAATTGTAATGGTCTAAGATAATTAACATGTCAACAGGCAAACGTAACCCGAATGATTTGTCTCAGTCTTGCCTTCTATACTACCTGCACTATAGGCAACATTTATTTGTCTTTAGACTTGCTTGAGAAGCGGTAACTAGTCAGTGTTACACATAAACACCAGATATGAAGTGCAGGCCCTAAATGTACTATTTAGCACCAAAAAAAATTGAATTTTTAAAACTGCGATGTAACCACAGTATTTGATGGTTCTATTTGACTCTCAGATATGAAGTGCAGGCCCCAAATGTACTATTTAGCACCAAAAAAAATGAATTTTTAAAACTGTGATGTAACCACAGTATTTAACGGTTCTATTTGACTCTCGGATATGAGGTGCAAGCCCCAAATGTACTATTTAGCACCTAAAAAATTTGAATGTTTAAAACTGCAATGTAACCACAGTATTTGACGGTTCTATTTGACTCTCAGATATGAAGTGCAGGCCCTAAATGTACTATTTAGCACCAAAAAAATTAAAATTTTTAAAACTGCGATGTAACCACAGTATTTGACGGTTCTATTTGAATCTCAGATATGAAGTGCAGGCCCCAAATGTACTATTTAGCACCAAAAAAAAATTGAATTTTTAAAACTGCGATGTAAACCACAGTATTTGACGGTTCTATTTGACTCTCAGATATGAAGTGCACCGCAGGCCGCAAATGTACTATTTAGCACAAAAAAGTGTGATTTTTTTAAACCAACAATGTAACAGTAGTATTTAAGGGTTTTATTAGAATGCAAGAAATGCAGTATGCAAATGTACTATTTAGCACCAAATAAATTGCAGTGTTTAAAAATGCCTAGATGTTGCCCACTGAGCTACCAGAACAGGATTAAAGTAATGTGCCTGGCACACATGCAGTTGCAAGTGCACTGCACTGTCTGTGGCACTGGGCTCAGGGCAGGAAACAAAAATGTAGCATAGTACCCATGTGACATGTGGCTCTACGTGACTCCAGCTTATATATAGAGGCGGGGTCACATGCTGCACTGGCCAATCACAGCCATGCCATTAGTAGGCATGGCTGTGATGGCTTCTAAGGGCACACGAGTCAAACGCTTGTTGATTGGCTGCTCTGCAGCCTTTCAAAACGCACCATTAAATCGCCAAACACCAAACTCCATCCCGAACATACACTGAAATGTCTGGGTCCGGGGTCCAAAAACCGTAATGTTCGGTATGAACCCAAACTTTACAGTTCGCTCAACTCTAGTGATGAGGGAACATATAAGATACTGCGTACTATCCCTATGAGAGAATTGAAAGATGAACTACAAGGTATATTACTCGAAGGTTTAGAAAAAGGGGTAATAGATAGAGATAAATTTGACTATCTGTCAATGAAATCCCCCAGAATGACAGTTTTCTATTACCTGCCTAATATTCATAAGTGTCTAGAAAACCCACCTGGTAGGCCAATCATTAGTGGAATCGGTTCCCTTACGAGTAACATTTCACAATATATAGATTTCTTCCATCAAAAGTACGTGATAAGGGCTAAATCCTACACTAAAGATTCCTCTCAGATTAGAAAAAAGGTTGAAGGCTTGCAATGGAAAGAGCTGAAGAACATCTGGGCCAATAATCCCTTTGGTGCGAATCTGGTGCTATGGAAAAGGTACATCGATGATGTTCGTATTATTTGGGAAGGTGGAAGGGATTGTGTGAATAAATTGTTAGAATACATCAACTTGAACACCTATGGTCTCAAATTTAAGGTGGAGATGGGAGGTACCTCAATTAATTTTTTTAGACTTAACATTGTTTATTAAGGATGGGAGAGTGTGTAGCAGAGCATTTTTTAAACCTACCGATAGCAATGGGTATATTGAGTTTTCTAGCTGTCACCATAAGAATTGGTTAAGAAATATCCCGAAAGGTCAACACATAAAGATGTTAAAGAATTGTACAGAGAAATATGATTTTGAGAAACAGACACAGGTTTTAAATAAGAGGATTTGGATAGGCACTATCCTAAGGATCTATTGTTGGATACGCAAAAACAGGTTGAAAAGTTAAAAAGAGATGAGCTCCTGACCAATAGAAAGAAAATTAAGACCTCAACTAATAACTTTGAATTTGCATTTTTAACCAAGTTTAATAGCAAATCACACCTGATAGAGAAATGAATTAAGAAGAACTGGCCCATTTTGATGCAGGATAAGTTCCTGAAAAATATTCTGCTGCATAAACCCAAGGTGATATATAAGAAGACTAAAAACTTGAAAAATATTTTAGCTCCTAGTGTGTTACCCAAAAAGGAGGACGAGAGGAAGGTTTTTAATAGTTTTTTAACATCCAAACCGAAAGGTTTTTTTAAATGTGGAAAATGCAGTACCTGTAAACATCAGGCTAATAAGACTACGCAATTCCAAAGCTTTGTTACAAGAGAGGTTTTTAATATAATCAAAAAGAAAGGAATGCACACCAACTAATACAATAATGTATATCTATATATATAGCTACCCTTGATAAAGGCTACCAGGAGGAGCCGAAACGTTGGGGGATTATTTGTGACTCGTGTTTCTGCCCATATAGGCTTGTGGAATTTTGGTAAATATATTGTTAAACTTTTTTGCCTATTTGGTCACTGTTACATTTTTTATGTGAGACTTGGATTTGTATTGTAATAAAATATATATAGATATACATTATTGTATTAGTTGGTGTGCATTCCTTTCTTTTTGAATATTTGCTATATTGGTATTGAAGGGAGTACCTTCTTGGAATAGCACCCATAATTGTGGTAGCAATTATACTAAGTGTCTCTCCACATGTTGTATTTTATAGGTTTTTAATATAAAACATTTTATCAATTGCCAAATCAAGTTCGTAGTATATCTTTTACAATGCAATTACGGGATCCAGTATGTGGGACGCACTATCAGAAAACTGCATATAAGGCTTTTGGAGCATTTTAACGGCATAAATAAAAAAAGTTTGAAACATAGTATCCTGAAGCATTGTACCAATTGTAGGGATTTTAATTTTAATGATTTTATTTGTATTGGTATTGACATGATCACCCCCCACTGGAGGGGTGGGGACATGGAAAAGATGCTAGCCATAAGGGAAACTGAATGGATTTATAAGCTAAAAACCTCTGCTCCCTCTGGCTTAAATATCGATCTGGATATATTAGCTTTTATGGATTAATCTATATAACATACTAGTATTTTTAGCCATTTTATGCATTTTCTATATGAATTGTTTATATGAACTTTTTATGCAAATTTTTATACGTATTTTTTTTTATTGGGTAATACATGTATCTATTTATCCATTACAATGTATCATCTCTCCTATTTACTATTATGACATCTCATCTGCTATATGTACTTTTTAGATTACTATGTTAGCTCCTCTCCACCCTCTGTAATAATATGATAATGTGTTTTTGTTATGTATTAATGGATGTTCCTCATGCACATATACATACATAACTCCATATGAATATGTATTAATATATTCCCCTGTTTCAGCATTAAGCTGTTTTATCTTATTTTATTTTTCTGTCCCTTTTAGTATAAGGTTTTTTCACTATGGAATCTTATTCATACACTATTATTTTCCCTATGTTTATTGTTCTAGTTATTCTGTGAACCCATGCCATATATATATTCTGCCGTGCCGTGCCGAGATCACCATCACAATAATGCCTGTGTATATTGTTAATAAAGTTAGGTCGCGTTCCACGGTGGTTGATGTGCATGCGCGGCACCAACGGACGTGCATCGCAACGTATGACGTTGCGTTCCGAGTGGACAGCAATGTGAGCGCAAAGACTGGCAGATTTTGGAAGAAAAAGATAGCGACAGAAGATAGAAGCTCCTGATGAAACGCATAGAGCCCAGCTGTATGTCGAACCTGAAGTGTGGCATTAGCAGTTTGGATTTGCATTTATGCACTTTAAATCTTTTTTGCAGTTTCATCCGTACTGTTAGAGGATATTGAACATTGATCTGTATGGTCTCTCTTGAGTTAAGCTTGCTCATAGAACCTCTTTTGTGAAGGGACAGTGAATGTTTGTGGCTTGTTAACTACCTCCTTCATTTG